CTGACATTAATTTATTTTCTATAAAAGTGTTTTTTTAGTAGTAAAATTGGTTAAACTCTACCTTGATTATACGTTTTTAGTTGCAGCCAAGCTAACTATGTGAGTAGTGACCAGACTGTACGCGAAGGCTCAGACATGCAGTTGGTCTGTGAAGCAACTGGTAAACCAACACCAAACATCACTTGGACCAGAGTGCTGGGGGATGGTAGCAAACAGTGTAGTATTGCACCAGGGGCCTACTTGGAATTTTCCAAACATCAGCAGACCAGCTTCTGGGACATACCGCTGTACAGCTTACAATGGATTTGGAAATCCAACAAGCCAAGAAGTTAAAGTGAATGTTATATGTAAGTATTATGCACTTTCTATAATAATTTGCCTTCATGCTCAAATTTATGTCAGAAGATATCTGCGAAGTCATTACTTTTCGTTTTGTGTCTGACAGGAAAATATTTACCCACAGGTATACTTTAACCCTATTCTGCCTGGGGGGGGGGGGGGGGGGGGGGGCAGAAAAGTGCCCGCGCTGACTTCAAATTTATCGTACTTAAAGAGCATTCAAGCAATCATAGCCAAACTTTATGACTTTTCCTAAAAATTATCTGGGAACATTTTTGGTGTCAATTTTTTGATCACGTGACTTGATGTTTCCATGGCAACCAAGTTTTGACAGGACGTTTTAGCCAAATTTGGTATTTTCAGTTTAAATGTCTGTTTTCATGAGATTTTCGCTTTTTACGAAGAGTTTCTTCCAAAATCTTTGCAATGTTTTGCATCCTTATATTGTTTTCGATTTTTTTCAAATCAAATTTGGTGATTTTTCTTGACATTTCTGAACAATTGAAAAATCCAAGATGGCGGATCCAAGATGGCGGACAGGTTTTAAAGTATGACGTTATTTCGGCGTGATATGATATCATTAATTGATTCGTAATTGCCACTAAAATAAACATGTTTGAATGCTTTATTCACCACATAAGTTTCATTTTTATAGCACAAATGCTTTTCGAGATACAGATCGTTTTACCCAAATTTGTTGATTTTTTTAGCTTAATTTTCAGTTTTCATAAAATGTTTCCTTTTTACGATGAAATCCTTTCAAAATCTTTGCCGTTTTAGCATCTTTATATTTTTCTTGATTTTTTCAAAGCAATTTTGGAGATTTTCTGACATTTCTGAACAATTTAGAAATCCAAGATTTAGGATCCAAGATGGCGGATTTTTTTAACGTATGACGGTCATTATGGCGTGTATGACGTCATAATTGACACGTGACTGCCACTAAAATAAAGATTTTCGGATGCTTTACACACCATGTAAGTTTCATTTTTCATAGCGTCAATACTTTTCGAGATACATAAGGGGGGGGGGGGGGGGGGGCACTATCTGACCCCCCCCCCCCCCCCCCCCCAAGCTCAGGAACGAAAAAAAAGCCCAGGCAGAATATATAGGGTTAAAGTATTCTATTGTATTGTATCAGAGCGCGCGTATAGTATGTCAGTTATTTTATAAAGCGACATAAGCCGAGTTTCTCGCCCAATCAGAATTTCACCTCTGAAAATTATACTAATTAAGAATTGGTTCATGCTTTAGCTGTGCGTATATCGAGTTATCGCTGCACTTGGGAAGTTTGGAGAGCACTCGTGAAGCTAGAGTTGCTCGAGGCGATATTACCGTACATAATCATTGTTCACACAACGCGGCGTTGAGGTGACATGTTTCTTAACAGCTTTGCTATTTTTATCAAACACCGTGACCGTGGTTATGTTAAACATCTCGGGAAGGCGTTCAATAGACATATTTATTATGGCAAACTGGTCCACGATGAAAAGGAGCATTCTGATTGGTTTCCTGAGCGGTCCGAATTTTGCAATACGGACTCATTTCACTGAATTCCTTTTATGAAACATTGGACAAAATAAATTGTTTAGTCTGGCGGACAATTTTGGTGAAACTTTCGCAAAGTGGCATAAAAAAATGCAAGAATATCCACTCAATCCTGCACTCAATACATGAAAACGAGGCGCGTAATGTACGACTCGATTTCGTGGAACAATTGTTGAATGTAACATTCCCAGTGTGTTAGCATGTACTTTGTAGAGGTATATAGCAGTTTTGTAACTTTTGTCAGTTTGCCAATGGTCGACAATGGGGTTTACTGTTTTGTCATGTATATGATTACCATCTCATGTAGCTGTCATCAAACAAAATACCAACCATACCTGCTTTGTTTGTTTGGTTCTTTATTCCATTCTTTGTATTTTAGCATACTTACAGAACTGTTTACTTTTTATCAGTAATATTAAACTTCAGTTCAGTAAAGTTTACCTCGTGTTGGGACTACAATATTTTCTATATATAATGTTGCTGTCATGAAAACAAACTAAATGCCACCAAACGGAAGTGCTTTATTTTTGTTGACAACAACTACCATATTTTTATGTACACTCATGTAGTCCTCCAGAAAGAAGTATGGCTTTGTTTCCAGTGTGAAGGACTTTTAGCCTAAATTAGTTCGATCCTTTTGATGTTACTATGTGTAACGACTGTGATGGAACAACCTCAACTGCACAAAGTGAAGACTGACAAGCTGTTGGCATCTACATCTAGTAAAAAATTATGTACTTTTGGTTGGAAATTCTCCACGGGAAAAACGTTTTTCCTTTTTGTCACGCGGCATCACCTGAAAAGCATTGCTCGATGAAGCACCACTATGGCAACTCATTTTTCAACTGAGGAGAAAATGTTGAGAACGTACTCTATTGAGCTGGAAAAGCACAGAGATGGAGAACGACTTTAGGTTCCTGCTATATAACCATGTAAATTACACCAGCCAATTTCATGGGATGAACAGTTGTGCTGCAACAGCATTTTCATGAACACTGACTGATACATCAAGGAATTTCATTAGGTATCTGCGATTTTGAAACAAAATGTATCAGTTGCAAGCATGTTTGCAATATCAAGGTTGCAATATATGTAACATGCTTTATCATATGGCAAAACTAATCCACGATGAAAATGAGCATTCTGATTGGTTCCCTGAGCGGTCCGAATTTTGTGATACGGACCGCTAAGATGGATCGTTCACGAACTCATTTTCGTCTTTTATGAAACATTGAAGTGAATTGAATTGTTTTATATTAAGTAGAAACATTTTTCCTGGCGGACAATTTTGTTTAAAATTGTCGCAAAGTGGCCTGAAAAATGCAAGAATATGCTTAGCTTCGCGCGCGCGCGCGCGTTTGTCAAAGAATGGTTGCATTAATTTATCAGCATTTTTTTTTAAAAAGCCATTATAATAAAAACATTTTATAGAACTAGCTTGTTCGGTCCGTATTGGGAAATATTGGTCTCGTTTTTTTGCAAGTTTATGTTCGGCTCGGTCCATAAACTTCCTAAAAAGAACTCGACCAATATTTTCCCAATAAGGACCGAACATGCTAGTTCAATAACATCTATTTATTGTGCAGACATGTACAAGGCGTGATATTTTTATATTTCCTTTGTTTTGTCTATTTAGATCCCCCATCGATTACCAGTACTATTAATTTGCCTGAAGGAAGACCTGCATCTATTCCTTGCCCTGTAGATGGAAACCCTCAACCTAATATTACCTGGTACAAAGGAAATGACACTAGCACTGAAATAATCGACAGGAGTACTCTGGAGTTTCCTAATACTACATTAAATGACAGTGGATGGTATACCTGCTCTGCTGAAAACAATTTAGGAAAAGTTACTGCCAGGGTGCACGTGCGCCTGCTGGTTGGTAAGTTGTATGATTTTATTAGATAAATGAACTGTATTTAAGACGCGAGGTCAGGGAAAACCACGCATTGAGTGGCAGATTCGAAGTTGAAAAATACTTTGTTTCCGCCAGTAGCTCTTTTATTTCGAGAAAAATAAGAAAATTGGTTTTCACGTTTGTTTCAGTTTCGTGAATTTCGCTACAGCCATAAAAAATTGTCATCCAGTGAATGAAAAATAGTTTTTCTGTCGTTAGAAAGTGTCCAAAGCTCTCTGTATGGTTTGGTTTGCGAACGCGAGGATAGTTTATAGTAGCGAATTTCAGGGTTCAACTTTGAGCATTTTTGAGTGTCGGAAAACGAAAACCGATTTTCTTATTTTTCTTAAAATAAAACGGCTTCTGGCCGAAAAACAAACTACATCAGGTATCTTTCCTACCTAATGGGTATTTATGAGCAAAAAATGAAGGAAATCGATTTTTCAACTTCTGCTACAAAATCCCGATTTTTGCGTGGTTTTCCCTGACCGCCGTTTCTTAAGTCTTGTGACATTGTACTGACTGATAGTCTCTCATCATACTTCTAGTTATTGCTTTTAATAATTGATGAGGCATTGAGATACAGTACAGTTGCTGTATGTTTGAAGAAATCTATTTTCTTTGATGAGATGTTAGATATTGCAGTCATGGATTTAATTATATTAATTATTAATATTATAAGTGGACCGCTCAGGTAATATATAATGGAAAAATTCAATGACGACTGTAGATTACACAGGAGCTGAATTGAGATGATTCAAACCCACAGTAACTTGATACCTAGAAAAACACAATCGGCAAACCGTTAGCTTCCCGAAACACTGATTTTTAAGGCAATAACCTTCCCCCATAACAACACATAACATATTTTTGGCCGTTATCTCGAACGTTTACAGCCCAACAGTATAAAAAGTACTTTGTAACATGGCAAATAAAATTACCTTCTACTTGGAGGCCAATAGCTCAATATTTTATTTGGGCATGCGCACCAATCAAAATTTTGACAAATTTTATCCTTTTTTTTCCCCTCTCTCTCCATTCTCGACCCCAGATCTTCGCTGCTTTCTTGGCAACGCAAGTTCGGTCATGCGCAAAAGAGAAGAGTACTGGGGTCGAGATTCCCACTCTTTCTCTTTGGAGGAGGCAGCTTTTTCGCTTTCTTTTTCACTCACTTTGTTTGCCAAAAAAAAAAGGCAAAGGAAGATTTAAAAAATGATTCCCGCCGGGACTCGAACCAACGACATCTCGCGCGCCAAGCAAACGCCTTATCAAGTGAGCCAGTCCTGCAACCTCTGTAAAGTCTGAAGAAGTTTCAATAAATAAAGATGTGTTCCTCAAATTCGAACAAAACAACATTAAATTCCTACTTTACCATCTATCAATGGAGAAACGCTTGTCAGTTTACAGCAACCCGCATTAATGACTTTCATTTCATGCTACTCGATTACCGTAAAGTTCCGAAAGTAACGACCCCTCGAAAGTAGCGACCCCCCGAAAGTAACGTCAAATTTTTGTGGCTGCTAATAAATTCCGAAAGTAGCGAGACCCCGAAAGTAGCGACACCAAGGTTTTTTTTAATTATACATATAAACATTTTTTTTCCAATCAATAGTCAAATGTATAAGTAATAATTTTCGTGCAGTGTCATAACGTGATCACAGTAAGGCACTTTAAAATAAGGGAAGCTATCGATTATGCCACAGAGCATTAATGTTCTTTCATGTTGCGCGGTGTAAAAACAAAACCCGTATAATTTTTATTTAACGATTTTTGTTCCCCGAAAGTAACAACCCCCCGAAAGTAGCGAGCCCCAAAGGCTGCTAATTCCGAAAGTAACGAGGGTCGTTACTTTCGGAACTTTACGGTAATGTGAAATCGCGTTATTATAAAAAACTATTATAATTATATATTACCTGAGTAATTAATTATTAATATTAATTATATATTAATTAATTTTCTGTACAAACAGCGAGGAGGTCGATATGGAACTTTGAGTAGTATGCATGCACCACTGATGTCCTTAGGGTGTTAGCTTCACGTTGTGGCAAGCTGTTCATCATGTCTACACTCCTCAGCTGCTGACATATCATTTGACATAACATTTAGTTTGTACTCACCTGGTTGTTCTAGTTGTTCTGGACACCATAGTGAATGAAAATCTTATAGATAAATGCAGTGAGGCTTTGTCTTAAACAAACACTAACGTACGCGCTTAGCATTTTATTGAACAATAAACTACGCATGTGACGAGTTACCTTTTTGTAGTTATGCATTAAAAGTATATTATTTTTCTGTTCATAGCAAAACTACCTACTAAACCAACGACTGAAGGTAAAGGGTTTTAGTTTATATTAATGTATTCTAAGCAAGCTACATGTCAGCATGTTTGCCTGTAAATTAGGGTAGGGGACGTAGTCCCCGGTGTTGTGGTCTGGCCTGTTCACATGTATTCATGGTTGGGTGGGTGGGGTGAGATCATGAATGGACTGATAGCGGCTGCCATAGGCGCCTTTACAAGCTGACGTCCGATCTCACCCCTGGGTTGAATTGTAAAGCGCATTTGGATATACTATATAGAAAATGCGCTATATAAATGTCATTACCATTACCATTACCATTTATGATACCATTATGTATGACTTTCGGAAGGCACACAAAGAGTGGTAAGGAGTACATCTAAATATTTTTTTAGTAAGACAACGACACTTTTTAATTTAGAAAACATGTTTCGGATGTACAACATCCATCGTCAGTAACAAAATGGCAAATACACACAATATATAAGCTTATGGGGTGGGAACACCCTTCGCTGAATAAGCAAATTAAGCATGTTAATTGAACCTTTTAGTTTTATTGCTTCCTTTCACTATAGTTATTATTTTAAGGTTGTTAGTTGTATTATTACTCTTTTTCACGTTGTTATTTAACAATTATTCCATGAGCCCGCGCCGCGTTGGATATGAGATGATAACATAACCAATGAGGCGCGCTTCGCGCCGAATTGGTTATGTTATCATTTCATATCCAACAAGGGCGAATGGAATAATTGTTTTATTAAATACTTCACTAACTTTAGGTTAACCTTCGGTATTACACTTTGTAAAAATTTATAAATCGACTGAGTGATTTTTCAGTTCAATCTAAATGAAGCATGATTTGAAAACCGCGGCAAAATGTCTGGCGCGGTGTAAGTTGGCAAGTTGAATGAAAAGCCGAGAGCAAGACAGAATGTTCTTCGGAGGGAATCTTCGCTCTGTGTCTTCTAAAGTTTCGTATATTCTGGAAAATTGTGCAAATGATTTAGCTTAAAATGGGGAGATCCGAGATAATTGTGGAGCTGAACATTATATTCATTTTACAAGTTGAACGGAGAGCTGAACGAAGCAAGGGTTTTACTATTTTTACGGCGAGCAAATCATGCGCGACTACAGAATTAATTGTGTTGAAACGAACTGAGCTGAAATCAAGTTCACTGAAGTAAAGAACATTAAGGAAACCCTCAATAATATCTACATGGATGGAGAGAAAAAGAGTGATCTTCGAAGGTAATTTCTCTGTGAAGTGATCTTTCATTGTACCCGCCGTCAGCACTTGACGAACTGCCGTATTTATGCTCCGATATTTATTGAATTATTGTGCTGGTTTTAAAAGCTTAGTCCAGCTGGAATTGGAAGGACTCTTCGAAATATAAGGTAACAATACTTAATAGGCTAAGCTTTAACTTGTGTTGTAAATAGGTTTTCATTGTTTTGAAGAATTAAGCTTAATTGTGCCGGTTTTCGGCGGATCTTCCCGTAAGCTTAAATTAATTGTTTCAGGCTGCCTTTACTTAGTGCTCGTTCAGTCGCATTTGTGGTACATTTACAGGCATTTCCCATTAAATAATTCGCTCCAAACTTCGTGCATTATTTAATGGACTTGACTTTTGTTTGATTTAGAAGGGCCAAAGTTTTTTACGTAATGATTTTAGCCATCTTTTTTCAAATTTCACTCTCTCGACGAACGAACTACCCTGTTATGAGCTACCATATTTGGCAGAATCCGTGTTATGAGCTGATAACATGGGCGCAAGGAGCCAATCAGAAGGCCAGAAATGCAATAACAGTGATTGAGTATTTAATAATACATAATATTAGTTTTCGCATTTTTCTCTACACTTCATAAGCTATTATATATTGTGTGCATTTGATTTATTTTGTAACTGACGATGGATGTTGACGATGGATGTTGGATGTTGGATGTTGTACATTTTCTAAAATAAAAAGTGCCGTTGTCTTTCTAAAAATACTTACTTGTTTATTGCTCCTTCGCAATTTTCAAAATATTATACACGATCTAATTAATTAATTATACAACTATTATAGAAGTTACTGAGGTACCAGAAGAAATAATTTCATTCGACAAATTCGACGCTGTAACTTACGTTTTGACACAATAAACAAGCCTTGTGGAATTCGTGAGTAAGTCTAGTTCTTTGGGATACAGTTTCACGGATCTCTAGTTCTCTGCCACCGGAGCAGGCCCCTATGGGCCTTAATCACGCGGCGGCCATCTTAAATCCCAGAGGATTTAAAACCTTTGTTTCCGCATCTGAAACCACGCGTAAACTCGTTTTGAAACGTCTGAATGCGAGGCTTGGGGGACCTTGGGGAATAAAAAGCTATTGTTTTTACCAACATGGCGGGCTGTGAAAAAGGCCCATACGTATCTTATGGCCTAACCAGTGTTGAAAGTAAAATGAGCTTGATTTAGCTTCTTGAAAGGAAATTGCAGAAATAAAGCACGTAAAGGTAGTTTGTAAACTTCGTCACATTCGCGTTATTGACTCCCTTTCAGTCTCTTTTGTTATATTACAGTAGTATTACAGAAATGTCAACAGTGGCGTCACCCAAGACAGCCCCATAATTCCGCACATTCAGAAACTCGACCCAACTTCCCGCGCGACCTCGGAAAGGGCAATATTTGCGTTACATTTTGTCCAAAATTGTATTCACTTAGGTGTTTGACTAGTATCAGCAAAAACCAATTACGTTTTTATTCTCATTTTGTGATTCTATTTTTGTTTCAAACATTTAGATTGACTTTGTTTTATTTACAATTTTTGATTTGTTGTGCAAGGCTAAAATGAGCCTGAGAAGGGCCAAAAACATGTTGACACCCGCGAACATCAACTCTATTGTTATATCATCAATAAACAGGTTAATAACAAAGTTATGAAGAATACGGGTCTCTCATCAGCTCTTGTTAAACTTTCCATAGCAAAGAAAGTGTTTTCATTGAATTTTTAGGAGTGGTGTCTTCGAGTTAGACATCAATATTATTCTTCAATGCCACGGTATTAAAAAGTTTATATAACGATTTTCCATTTGTCTTCAAAGCTACTGAAGAATGCAAACAGTGCTCATGTAATGACGTCATGTTGGCAGCGATAATTGGAGTTCTTGTGTTTACAATCATTGTTCTCGTTATTTACATCGTTTGGCTGCGCAAGAAAGGTAAATAATATCATCACTCTTTAGACGTTTTTTTGTATCTCTGCTGTTTCTCATATTAAGTTAATACTGTCTTTAATTTGAATCTTGATCATGTTATTTCTTGTTTCTTAGGAACTGCAAGAGAACAGAGGTATGTTTTATCTCTCCTCTGGGTCTGGGATCAGATTTAAACTCAATGATGCTAAAATCTTATAGAGGTTTATATCAAGATTGTTTAGTGTATAGTGGAAATGATTATTCATTTGATTCTTGATGATGACCAGATAACAATTCTATAACAACTTGGAAATTGATAGAAATTATGCAACATCTCATTGTTATTTTCCGTTATTTTCAGACCATACGAAGACAAAATAGGTGTATATGACGTGAGTCTATTTATTGATTGTTTTTGTTGATAAAAGCAAGTAAATAATTGTGATTGTAATGTCGATGACGTCACGTTTGCTTACTAGTTAGTGCCATGCTGAATGAGTCAAAGTTTGTCGATATTAAGTCGAAACATTTTTCGGCAAACATCGGAAAATGTCGGAAACGTTTGCATGACCTGCGGACAACATTTGCAAAATCTTTGGAAGTCTTCGGAAAATGATCGGAAATCGTCAAAAACGTCGTTGTTAGTATAGTTAACAATTATTCGCCGAAGTGGAGGTGGATAGTGGTGGATATTTACCGAGCCGCTTCGGCGAGGTAAATATCCACCACTTTTCACCGACACTGAAGTGAATAATTGTTTTAGTATATACCAAACCAGTGAAATAGCTAGCTCCAAAATTATAGATTTATTTT